GTTTCTAATTTCAGAATTCCTTCTGCTTTAATACCGTTCAAATATCATATGTCTGCAGTCTTTGTTAAACAGTATGAACTTAGTAACATTACATCTGGACACTACTTTACTGTAGGAGGCTTACAGTTTTCAGTCATGACTTTTCTTTATACTATTTTACAAAATTGAAGCCTGGATCCGTTTTTGGTTTTTAGTTTTTACTCTTATTTCTGTTGTGAACTTAGTTTAATTGAAATGGAGAAGAAAAATGCCATTACCTTAAGACTGAGATGCCTTTATCAGTTTTGTTTAAGCTTTCTTTTTATGTAAAGATCTTGGGCGACTCCAGAACAAAACATATATAAAATTCATACAACATTTTCTAATCTAGCTTCATTTTACGTATCTCCTTTATTAAAGAATTGGAGGTGCGTTGTAAAGAAAGTTTAAAAACTGCAGTATTTTAACTTTTAAATATTGTCATGATAAATTGATATTTACTGAATAAAGTAATAAATGAGTTTGAGGAAGAGTGAACTTTGGGCCAGCACACATTCTCTGCTCTGGTAGTAAATTTCATTAAATAAAAAATTTAAAAAATTAAAAAAGTTTAAAATTAAAAAAGTTGCTAAAGTGCAAATACAGAAAAATGCAAAAATTTTTAATTGCCTCCATATCTACTGCTTTATTGATGCGGCATTTCAATGTTAATTCACAAAAGAGCTATCACAATGAATTTGCATGAGATGATTGTTCTCAGAACATAGTTTTCAAGATTCATGAGCAATAGCAAAATGTCAATTTTTTTTTTTTTTGGTTTAGTAACCCACCGTATTTCCATATAGGTGTTTCAAAGCCCCACTGTCTTTTTACTTCAAAAAAAAAAAAAAATCTCTTAATAAAATTAAGGTAAGTCAAGCAAATCCCTACTTAGTGTGAAAACAAGAGCCATCTAGTGGTAACAAAGTTATACTACAACACATTCAAACATTTAAAAAGTTCAAGGGAACTGACGGTCCAAACTTTATTGCTACAAGACTTAGCCTTTTATAAGCAGAAGCTGCCAGGGGCTGATTGCACTGGTTGTAAATTATGGCATAAAGAATAATGGAGCAGGCTTTTTAAAATATCTACATGCAGTTTTTCTCACTCTAAACAAAGTGAAAACAAAGAAAAGAGGGCAAAGAAAAGAGGGCAGGCACGTAGCCCAAAACTCTGTTAAGGAAAATGAAACACGATCACAAAGAAAACGACCCTCTAACTCAGCAAAATGCTCCTACCTAACTCTACTTGTCAAATAGAAAAACACTGATACCTTTCAACTTCTGAAAACTGCAGAGCTGTAGCCCACAACCATGGACCATGCATGCATAGATAGAGCCTGTTCTTCTTTGGTAGCACAACCAAGCTTTATTTCCACTAGTATGAAGTAAAACTGTGATCATCGAAACTGAGGGGAGACTTACAGCAGACGTGCAGTTAATGCAGCTACTAATATTTTAATCAAGTTGTACAAACTCTTCTGTTAATAATTTTTCTTTTGTGAGTGTTTTGGATTCGTTAGGAGTGCAGATCTCTGTGGGATAAGTGAGGACTGTGGAGAAACTAAGCTGATTTTTTGCCACTGATTTTTGTTCCACTAGAAATTACATTTTGTGATTCCCCATCAGTAATTTCAATGACTAGAATGAAGTACTTGGAATAATTACCTTTTTTACATATAGGCAAGGCTTTGCCTGACAGTAAAGTTAGCTTGTAATTTATTGTAATTCAGCAGCGCTCAGTTATTGTTTTAAGGTTTATTTGTAAATCCATTTATAACCCAGGAGTAAAGCAGATCTCAAATTAACATGCACAGGGCGTAGAGCAAAGGGAGAACAAGCATGTTAAAATTGCTTGCACTAGTCTTAAATTCAAAAAAGAAATCTGCTATAGAATTATAGAGAAGTTCAAAATGAACAGCTCAGGTGGATTCATTTCCAGCAGTTTAGCATATCCTGGTGCATGGCTGAGATTTCCAGCACTGCTATAAAGAATGTGATGCTCATTTTTCACTGAAATTAATATAACTGAGCATCTAGGTCCCTGAAATGGCTCTGGAAAAAAATTCTCCGCCACAGATAAATAGGTACTAGCTGCAATATCCAGTATGAATCTTCTTAAAGAGAAATGTTAAGCCTCCATAACTAGAAAGGTTTGCTTTTTTTCCACACTGATATTTTAAGTGATTTTGATAAATCCTTAATTCCTACAGACCAGACCCAAACCGAAGTTCCTCTGTTCAGCTAAGACTGCATGCGCAAACTTTCCTTGAACAGTTCAGGTAGCTCAGGACTTGGTGTCCTGTGTAGCCTTGCTCCTATCTGTGCATCTGCTCTCATTTCCTTTTCCATGCTCCGCTTTCTCGTCTTTGCGCACTCTTTTTTTTCCCCCCTTTCTAGATTCACACATCTGATTCAAACTGTTTGCTGCTCGTAAGAATACAGTTTGCACCCCCTGTTCTGGTTCTTATCTTTGCCTTCTATCTACGAGCTTTATCCCATGGCATGCAAGAAACTGCCTCCACAAGACAAGATGGGTGGATGCGGCCTTCCTCCATATTACCTTATTCTGCCTCTTCAGCATGCACCTGGGCTGGCAGCTGTGTTACGATGACTGTTGTTGGGTCTTTCATTCATTTCTAGTAAGAAGCAGGGGATGGTAAAGGAAAAGTGGACTTGTCTGAGAGGGGAAGATAGGACTTGAAACTGTCTCTGACTTTAGCCTTACTCTGAACAGCAGCAGATTCATTTTCCCTGAATCTTGTAGAGAGTTTATGAAACAGAAGGGACTAAGAGATTTATAGCAGTAAGTCTGTTTCTAACAAGCTATAAGCCCCTTACTAATCAAAAAATAAAAAATAAAACAAAAAAAATCAGCAAGTTTTCCCAGTGCTACCAGATCACTTCCAAAAAGCCCTGAAAATATTATTTTCTATAGATAGTGCCAGTATTTCTAGGTTGCAGTCGTCATCGCATTGTGTAATAGTCAATAATCTACTTTCCTCCCTAGTCACGTCCTAAATTAGATTAAGATGATTGCAGCAGGAGCTGTATTTCTTACACATATGCAAGAGAGTAGTATAGCACCAATGAATATAGAGCTAGCACTTCACAGTAAAAAAGGATCAAAATATCCAAAAGCGAAAGTCCTTGTCAATGAGACAGACATAAAATCATAGCTTAAAAGTAACAGAGGAAACTACTGTACAAGAAAATACGAGCTTTCCTGCTTCCTGTGTAATGCCGAGAAAGGAAAACGTGCCCTTTTTCGCTGGACTACACGCTCCTATCAGCGTGCACACGTAGCAGGGCAGTAAATTTGTATTGTTCGCTCTAGCTGCCACAAAGCCTGCCAAATACTTTGGGCTAATGCATCAATGCATCAAGTAATGATTTGCCCATCCTTCACAGCTGATCAGGCAGACCCATGCAAATTCATGGCATGTGACGAGTTTTCAGAATGCATAATGAACGAGTGGACAAAAGAGGCGGACTGCCTTTGTAAGCCTGGTTACGCAAGCCGGGACGGACTGCCGTGTCGGAGCCTGTGCGAGATGGAACCGCATCTTTGCATCAATGGTGGGAAATGTGAGTTAGTTCCAGGAAGAGGAGCTGTCTGCAGGTAAACACACATCATTTAACACGCACTCTGTTAGTGGAATCCCCTGAAATGCCTGTTGCATGAAGAAGCAGTACTGAGTGTGTACTTTTAAACAGCACAAACTATCTGCTAACAAGCCAAGAACTCTATAATCAGACAGTTTAGGCTACATCATGATACCCTGCCTCAGCACAAGCAGATTTGCTATGGATAAATCAATTTTTGCCTAGTAGTAAACATAGACCATCGTGATCTAGTCATTTGCTAGAGATTCATTAGAGATCTGTTAGAAATTCAGTGTCGTTGGTAGAGATGACAAGCATGCAATTATGCATTCCTTTCAGATTCCTAATTGCTTTCAGATTCCCAAGTACATCTTGGAAAAAGAAAATTATAACACCTTCACATTTTTGCTGTTGCTTAAATAGTACAATTATAAGAAATTAAGTTTTTCTGCATTCAGTTAAAAAGGAAATATATATTCTTACAAACACAGCTATGAACACCACTGTATGACTCCAGGCCAACCAGTAAAGCACATAAAGGCCGAGACTGCTTGCAGGTTTCAAACTTTCCAGGAAAGACTTGAGGATTAGCAGCTGCTTCTAACTGCAAACACATTCCATAAGGATTTTTACATGGAGTGACATTAAGCCAATGATAAGTACTGCCATAGTACCTGAGCACATTGCTTCTCCCATAAAAGCATCAAGAGTCATCTCACTGTAAGACACCACCACCCACGTGGAACTCTGTATACCAGACTGGCCTACGGTAGTTGACCAGCCACCTGTGTAAGCAAGAGACAAGTTACGTAGTCCTTATACTTGCTCGTTCTCTCTTAATACCAACTTTAGTAGATTAATAACACATCTTTTAAAGTATTTGGGATATCAAATAAGAGTACTGAACAAATTCTGCATATGATAATTTTGCTGTAACAACATAACTGCCATAATTCATTTTCTGCTGCAGGCATCACAGAAAAGATACTGGAAGATTATACTGAATTCACCAAAGCTACTGTTGAATGCCTTTTCTTTTAGACTCACAGTAACGTAGCAGCAGTATTTTGTGCTAGAAATTAGTCTGTGATCTAAAAGGGGGCCTTTTAAAAACTTTGTTACTAGTGTAGCAAAGGGTATAGACTACTGTTTCAAGATCAACACATTAAGGAAAAATAACACCTTTCCATTTCAGAGACGCCTGGCTTAGACAATGTACGACCATCATTTGGGTCGTCCGGAATGCCACCTATAGAATGGTTTATCCTATAGGCAGGCCATGGACGTAGCAAGGATAAAAGTGTTAAAAATAATAAATGAAACTTTGTGAATTATACCAAATTACAATAATTTGGCATCAGTCTCAACCTGACAGCTTGTGCAAACTTGTCCAATCTGCACATAGTAAATACTGCAGTGGAAGCATTTGCTTTAGTCAAGCACTTGTTTTGTTTGTGAATTTGTTCAGAACTACACTAGCATTCACTTTCACTAATTTGAAACCCCCTGTCCTCATACATAATACGGCAATCTCCTCCCTTGCCTTAAGGGGAGCTGTCCTTAGTAGAACTCGTATTTTAGACCTTGCTTTTCAGATTAAACAGAAACGGAACAGCTGTCAAAGACACTACATTTACAGATAAATCCAAAACACCTCTGAACTTGTAGGGTGCTAGAACACAAGCATCATTTCAATTTCATTACGGGGCTAGGAATTAGTCAGAGTCGTTCCAAATACCTAATTTCCTTAAAATTTGGAGGTGGGGAAAGAACATATTAGGGTCCTGTTGTTTTAGCAGTAACTCTCATGAATCCAAAAAAAATTTCTTTCTTTTATTATCAATCATATCATTTCATACAGTCGCATTACAATTAATTATACTGGTAATACTGTGGTTGTATTTACTTACAGATTTTCCGTTATTTTCAACTGAGGTACTCCGTATTTTCTGCCCTGAAGTTCTGTATATTTCTCTCTTCCTCTCCATATTTTAGATGCCCTGTACGCAGACACAAGTTTTACCAAGGAGAGCGCTGTGCAAAATTTGCTCCAGAACCCATACAACCCTTCATTTTTAAACCTGTCATTCTTGGCTTACTAAGCCTTGTTTTTCTTTTCATCATTTTAATTATTAAGTTAAGAAGAAAATGCAAAAGAAACTCTAATTTGGAGTAAGCGGCTCATGATCTTTTTCTTCAAATTTTGAAATGTTCTTTTTTTTCTTTGTAATTTAAAGACTTACATAAACGAAAATGTTCTGCATTGTAGAAGTCCTACTTTCAACAGCTGCAATTCGGAAAATGCTGTAAGGATTAATCCTGCTTTTGAACATGATGAACCCATAACTAGCTTTTATCATACGGCTTGTAGCGTAAGTGCTTGTGTCAGTTCTTCAGAGATCATTGATCAAGGAGCATTACACACATTTGAAAATACAATTCAGTGTGGAGGTAAAATGCATGTAAATCCTTTCCTTGTCCCTCAACAAACAGCCCCACCTCAAATAACAGGTCTATTTTCATGTATTAACTCTATAACTAAATCAAATTTGACTCTAACCTCTTGCTTGGCAATTTCAAACTGAAAACACTAATTCATATATTTACTTCTTACATTTACTACTGTGTAGGTTTTCTAGCAGAATTGTAGAACTGCCTTTGTTACAGCTCTTTTGCATGGCTTTGGTGGTCCAGCCTATCTGAGCGCTTTTTGTGATTTAGTGAAATAATTAATCTTGTGCATCTTTTTTTTTAAACTGTTCTAGGTCGCCAGACCAGTTTACAAAGCCAAGACTAACAAGTTAGTGTCTGAAATTCTGCAATTTGAGCATCAGCCAGACAAAAGCAAGGTTTGTGACTATTTTCAAGAGCTTTCGGGTTCTGTTGAGTTTCCTATTTGTTATCAGTTATTTGTTAACATGTTATCAGTTCCATACTCCATTTACGGCTGAAAAAAAAAAGTCTCAGCTGAATGTGAATTAGCTTATTTTATTCTGCTGAACATCACTTTTGTTTGGATGCTTGCTATGAGAATGATAATCCATTCTGAAGTGCTTTTATGCAAAGTTCAGTTCTGCCATAGTCATATTCATATAAAAACATTCACCATATTCGTATCTAAAATAAGGAAAATGAAACTTAAAAAGTAAACCAAAGGGGAAGTTTTAATAGGAATAACAGATCATTTAAAAACAAGAGCTCTGTCTGCTTAAACTAAGTAGCATTTGAACAAGTAGGAATCCCAATTTGAGCAGAACACTGTATAATACTCATATCTTAAACACGTTGTTTCAAGCATGGGATGTCTCTTTGAAAAAAAGGGGGAGGGGGAGGGGGAGGGGAGAAAAGCTGAGTGAAAAATTTCTCTAAAATTGCCAGACTGTGTGTTAGTTCTGATGTAGCTGAGTGTGCTCCTTCAAAAGAGGGACAAAAAGCTTTTATCCTGCCATTTGCTCATAGCCTGGTTAGGAACCAAACAATTTTATTACAGCTGTTAGTAACCATATTCCTGAAGGATTGCCCTACCTCTAGGTATATGCTATTGGAAACAGGATACTGAGCTACAAAATCTTTGGCTTGAGCCAGTACAGCCATGCGTATGTAAATAAGGAAATGGGTAATTATACCATAGAGAACAATTTATTTTTACCGATCTTGACACAGAGGATTCCTACCCAGGTGTGGTCTCTGTGTGTACTTCAGCTGAGAGTTCAGACTGAACGGACAAGAGGAGGGCCTGAAACACAATGAGAAGGTCTAGAAGTCAACAAGAATGAGCTGTTGGGGAGAGCTTTTCTCCTAATAAAAACACTAACATCTGCAATTGTTTTTAAGTCCTACAACAAAGGGTGTGTGTGTGTGTGTGTGTGTGTGTGTGTGTTTTGTGGGGGGGACGGGGGTTGTAGGCCAGTAAACTTCACTTTTATACCAGCTGAACAATTCCATTTCATAATCAGGAAAACTTCTTTGGAGCCAGGATTTTTATGGCACTTGAATTTTCAGAAGCTGGATGTCTAGAACTCTTAAGCCAATCTGAAAATTCTAGCCCAGATCTTTAAAATGATTTTGATTTTTTTTTTCTAATGCATAAGGACATCTTACTACAGTAAATATAACTCTGAATTTATACAAGAATATATTTTAAAAAATCCAGTAGAAACTAAAAGAACATCTCATCTCTTCCTAAGCATGAAAAATGTTTCCGTTTTCAGTTATAGGGTCACTACTTGGATTCCAAGTTAGTTTTCAGAAAAAAGATGTACCCAGTTAGTCATCCAAGAATTGACAGAAAGCATATTTCATGTCCATGTGAAGAACTTGCTCTTCCTTCTTTCTGAGCTCAATTGAAAGCATGTTGAAAGAATGTTGTTGCAAACAGCTGAAAACCACAGCTACTGCCCTACAGGATTAGGTCTCTGTGACCATTATACCACTTGCTGAGCAAGATGCAAAATAGGAGGAATAAAACAATCATGAATCATCTTTCTTTGTGCCAAAGCAGTACGTGACAATGAGCTAGAATTCACATGTTCAGGCAGATTCAGCTAAGACGTTAGGCAAATAAGCCCACATCTAGATGGCTTACTACAGTCAAAAGTACAGCAAGCTAAAGTTCTTTACAAATGATCCTTTTGTCTGATTCTCTGCTGCTTCAGTCATGTAGGCATGTGCTTTTTCCTCCTTTGAAATACAGAGTTGAAAACAGCTCATTCAAAATGCAACATTTGTCAGGTAGCATCAGGAGAGAAAGGAAATCATCTTTTTTTTTTCTTTTTTTTTTCTTTTCTTTTTTTTTTTTTTTTATATTTTACCACTTCTGTCCCTTTAGTGACTGCTGTACATCCTCTATTCAGGGAAATGGGTGCTGAAAAAGAAAATACACTCTACTTTGAGGTGCAAGGATCTTATGGCAAGTTGTCTGAAAAGTCTATTTTTTCAGTTCATCTACTGAATGCTACTCTATGTATCATCTCTTTATGCTTGCAAATGGCACTTAGGGTGAATAGGCTTCTTTATCAAGACCTTATCTGACAAAGTTCAGTAATGGATTTAACCCTTGGAGAGAAAAAGGATCTCATCTAAAGGGTCTTCACAAGCTTTTCTAACCCTGCAGAAGACACTTGTCCTGTGAAAGATACCAGAGAAAATCCATTGTAACAAATTTGGACAAAACTTCAGAGGACCTAAAAGTATTTGACCTAAAACATCCTGAAAGCACTGGATAAGAGAATGGTAGAAAAATTTGCTTCATGATGCTGAATCTAATTGGCATGGACACAGGACACTTCATTTGATGTAATTCACCTGAAGCCTGAAAGTCTTTATAGATTCTCCATCATAAATGCATGAAACATCATTCTCTGCTCATCAAAACTAGTAACTGCCAAGTAGCATCATCCTCTGAAAAAAATGACTCTCAGCCACCAGGAAAGATGACTGGAATTAAATTTGAGGAGGAAAAGAAGAGACTACAATTTATTTCATATTCATGCCAGTCACTTGGACTATCGAGCAAACAGTGTTTTGGATTAAGAGACAGGGCAACAATACAAGTTAGCCTGTTTGAGCTTCCCACCAATATCAGAGATTTAGCAGAGTTGCAGGGGAAAGACCTAAAAGAGCGTTCAGAGGCAGAAGTGCTGTCTTCTCAGTTCAATTTTACAAATTTACAAAGATATATGGTAGAGTTGTTGCTCTTACACTAAAACAATGCAGAGAAACTGAATGCCATAAACAGAGTGTTTTATTCCAGAACTGCTATACTTATGAGTCTTGCAGATATTTTAGATAGGGCTTCTTTTGTGGCACACTGCATTCTAATTATTTTATTGTCAAAAATATGCTCTTCAAATTACGATGAAATAGCTGATACTTGTTATTTTGTATGGAAACACAGCATTGTTATATCAGGGAGGAGGAATAATAATTCTACTGTAAACTCAATGTCTTATGTAGTGGGTATGTAAAATAGCTTCAAGAGTAGAATTAACTCAATTTTCCTTAGAGTGAACTGGAAATTAGCCCAAGAGATTGCAGGGAGATCTTGCCTACTAACAGCAGATTAGTAATATATTTTCAAATTCAAAAATGTATTTTAAATGTCTTATGATAGTTTCTCTTACAGGTGTTCAAAAAAAAAGGATGCCTGCATTATTCAAGACTGGACCTTCGGGTTACATTATGCATAATAAAATTTAAGGATTACTACAGATTCACCATTTTATCTTTAAAATAAGTATATATGAAACATATTGTTTCATTAAAGAAAAACAACACCTATTCGACCATGTTTAAAATTTGTCTGTTAAGAAGTCACCGGTGTTAAGATGCATGCATTAAGCATAAAGTGCTTACATATTTTTATTGTATTTTTATTTAAGAACCTAGTGCTAGAAACAATCTTGCTGAAATGAACACTCTTTGCAGCACTGTATGTCCAAATAGTCCGGTAATCATGTAGATGAAACTTTAAAGCAGTTCTACACCATTTTATGAACCTTTCTACACTCACTAAAGCAGTGTAAGTGGCAAACATCACTAGAGCAGTGTAAGTAGCAAATATTAAAACAAGAGCTGTCAGTAGAAAGGGTCTTTTTTTTTTTTTTTTTTAATGACCAAAGGCCACATTAAAAGCATTTGAGAAGTTTTTTCATTCTCACCTTACAAAACTTGCATTACCCATCACATATAGGTTTGGGTTTTTGTGAGCGAGTGAGTCTGTGTGTGTGTATATGTGTTTTTTTTTTTAAATGGTTTCTCTGAACATCAGACTCTTAAATTCCTGTTAATAAAAATTATGTACCGTGTGTGTGTGTGCACGCGCGCACACACGTACACACACACTTCACTGCTTAACTGCTGGTGATAAATCTTTTATTCAAAGACTTGAAACTTTTTGCTGAGGCAAAATACCTGCAATTTTCATCATTTAAGGATATGAGATTTATACTTACAACCAGCCTCCTAGCAGCAAGTTGATTATATATTCACACACAGACATGCACACTTAAAACTCAGCAAACACATAAATAATTTTGAGAGGTTATTATTAGTTTTTGTAGAAGAAATCTGAGCAGACAATCAGTGGCCATTAAGTATTTTATAGGCTTAGCAATTTGTGCTCAGTGGATCCACAATCCAGATTCAAGTATGAGCATTACTTTTTCGTGAACGTCTTTTTCATGAGCATGTATGTGTTGCAGCAGTGCTGTATAACGGTCAGGTACTGTTTGCTGCTTGCTGCATACCAGCAGTTGTATTTACAGTTCAAAGCAAGGTTCCACAAAGTTCATGACTGTACCGGATGGCACCTCCTCATTCAGATCTGAACCCTGTGTGTATTCAGAATAGTAGCTGATCTCAGTGACAATTCTTTTTTTTAAACAGCTAGCCCCACACAATTAGCACAGCAAAGACTGAACTTTAGTTTACCTTATTATGTACCCTCAAGACCCTGTATTATGAAATCCAGACAATGTGCTCTGTTTATGAATTCCAGACAATTAACAGCACAAACAGGTCTACCTGCCGAACCAAGAGAACTGGCGAATGTGTACAAATGAAAGCAATTCACCAAGAAACCACAGCTGAAATATTTTTCGTATAAGAAATATGAAAAAAAAGTGAAGATGCAGTCTTACACAGTAGCACTTCCAAGTAGAACCCCATTTAAAAATACTTTTTGCAAGGCATCGAAAGTCATCCCTGTCTGCAAACGTTAGCTTTTTACAATTGCTCGCGTAAGTTAAGAATGCTGAAAGCATTCCATCATCTCCCCCCTTACAAATGTATATTTTGTATGTGTTTAGCATATTTTAATTAATACCAGTTCGCATTAGGTAAAAAAAATAATTTTTAAATGTGTATTTTAATAATGTTTATTCATGACTATTTATCACGCCCAACTATGAATTACCAAACATATTTGCTGTATGTAAACCTTTTGTATTTCAATAAAATATAATAAAACTATTTACTTGAAAATTTCACAGGGTATTGAAATGGTATTTCATCTCATACTTAAAAAAAAAAAAAAAAACAACAACTACCAAAAAAACCCCACTGTCTTAAAGTTGGTGTTAAACCCTAATAGGAAATAAAGATCATAAAGAAAAGGACATAAAACTATAGTTACTAGATATCAAAGTCTGAATTTCTTCAATCATCTTAAAGTTGAAAAAAAATACCACTCTGATTTGGCCCTTAGAACAGCAAAATTTCATGACTAACACATTTTTTGAAGAAAAAAATATTTTCTTGCAGCTTATAAACTCCAAGCATCATAAGTAGTTTCACTAATCAGACTGTTACAAGCCACAATGAAAGAAATACAAACAATAAACAGCATAGCAGATGATAAGTATGTTGGATAGCGAAAAAGTCTCAAAGTGATAGTAAAAAAGTAATAAAAGTAAAAAGACATTTGTTTTAACGCATCCTTAGATATGAGACTTAAAGCTAACCATATTATAATTTCTTAATATCAGAATGCTATTTCAGAGGGACTTTTACCTTAGAAACTAAAGATGAAATCTTTACCAGAGCAGCTTTAAGCACCATTAACATCTGACAGAAGGGCAGCAGACAGCTCTAGCCCAGCCATTTCCCTGTCCTTCCCATACTTAACAAACTCTTACTTATGACACTTTAAATCGTTAAAGACAAAATGCTAAGAGATATTCAACAGATTTCAGCATGGAATGTATTTATTTATTTCTTTTTTAATTTTCAGTACATTATGGGGAGGTTATTTAAATACTTTAAAAATATTTTGGAAAAAAAACCTGAAGGATTCAACTAGAAAGGAAAACAATCTCATCAGTGGATGGAAGACATGTATTTAATGACCTTATGGTCTTTGAAGTAACACTCTCTAGAGTATTTATATTCTTAGGTCATCTACTCAGGAATGTAGCCTAGCACAGTGATTCTCTTGTTCTCCTTTGTTTTCTGGAGTGTTTTATGCAGAAGATCTCAACTACAACGGACAGCTTCACTGAGAAGCAGGAAAAAATGTTGTTTTTACAAATCAAACACATAGAACCAAACCAAGACATTTACCTCATCATTTTGCTTTAAAAACCAAATTAAATTTCTCTCTATAACTGTAGATCAGAATGACAGTAGCTAACACTATAAACCCACGGGTTTTTTTTTTTTTTTTTTAAACTTGACCAACAGCATCACGCTATCTGATGCGGCAGATGGGACAACAGAGATTCTGTAAGCAGCCGAACGTTGTCTCGTATAAAAAAAAATAATTGTGAAATGAAGTGAAAATTAACTATATTGCACAAGATGATCAGCCATCAGCAACTCTGAAAGAAGCGGCTGCTTTTAATGGATAGAAAAAACGCATACTACTGCACAAACTAGAAACACCCCAATTTTTGGAAAGAATCTTCTGCTTGCCTTAGGCATACCGCTACAGCAATGCAGAGAAGAGGAAACATTTCATGTGAGAACATCCAGCCACCAGTCCCTCTTCCACTATTTCAATGTCAAAATGACTTTCCTGATAACACATATTTGTCCATCATTTAGTTACAAAAAAAAAAAAAAAAAAACCCACTATATGCATCATTCTGTAAAACAAAGGAAAGTTTCCTCTTGATGCCTGTCTGCATATAACTCACTATCAAGAAATCTTGCATCCTCCTTGCATGAAGGAAATACTGGTATAATAAAAGGAACAGACTGGAATTTTTTTTTTTTTTGGGGGGGGGGAGGGGGGGTAGGTTCTCCACAAGTATACATAACCAATCTTATGGGACTGAACAAAGTAAGCCAGGAACTTAAATGCAGACAGAAATAATCACGGGGTGGGGCTCCTCAGCCTTATCAATTCAGTGATTTCCTTCCCTGCATCCAACATACATAGCTATAGTTTCTTGCAGTGCTAATATTTAAAAATTTATGGAGAATGGAAGTTCCAAGGCTTTGGTTCCAATTCAGTAACACACTAAACCAGTAATTAAGCTGCAGAAGTAGTACCTTTAAACCCATACAACTTGCTAGCCAGCAGCCTGATGCACTCATCTTTCATCTTACAGCAAAAAATGATTGCTTCAGTGAAGGGTTTGTGCGGGTTGCAATGAAAATGTATATTCTAGGTTGCAACCACATGATCAAAAAAGCAGGGTGTCTATGCAAAGATACTGACTTTGAAAATACACAGTTCAGAAAAGTTGAGATTTCCTGATGTAGCAAATTTATACAGAGTTAGTGAATTACTCAAATATCTTCATAAATATTACAGTAAGGAGTGCATTTCAAACAACAAGCAGACTGTGGCATGCAGCAGGCACAATCTAAGGTCAGCAAAAATATATGCATCAACAGCCTTTTCTAACTGTGCTGCAGAACTCTACCTCTTGAAAATTAACAATAAAGTATATGTATGTATTCAAAAACTGAAGTTTCCAGAAGGTTTCAAACCTAGTAAAATGAGAGGAAATGAGTTAGCGTGAGCAAACTTTGTAACTCTGTAGAGCCAAACTTTGCTTTTTATTCAGGTTGAATACTTAACTGGACATCAAGCTACTCATTTTGTATTTCAGTTCTTTCAGAGAGATAGTAATTATGACATTTAATTTGTTGAAATATGGCCAGCATTGTGAAACAGCCACATAAGTGAATAAAATGCATCTTAAAACGGTATGAAATTAATAATTCCTACAGTTCCACAAAAACTCTAAAATAAGGGGACTGTTACAAGCTATGAAACTTGACAGAAGATATGTAATAAGATCAATGTCTGAATCACTATGATATTCCAGTATACTAAAAACTGTAACTATGTCAAATTGCACAGAGCATTTAGATGGTGCATTACGTTACTGACCAGATTTTTATGCAGTGTAACAGAAGTTATAGACCTTGGGCATCTCATTAGAATTAAAATAAAAAGGATGGTTGAGGCTCAGACCTGTTGTTATGCTACCATCACAAAAATAAACATATTTCCCTTATGCTATCCTTAATCTTATATGCCTCCAGATATAAACCTTGGACAATTTGGGGTAATGTATTTAAGTTACACTACCTGGATAAATGAACCATCCAAGAATTCCTGATAGAAATTTGGTCAAAAAAACCAAACCAAAACAGTCTAATGGAAATCTGTACTTCAAAAAAAAAGAAGAAAAAAACTAAGACAAAAGTGGCATAAACCCTAATGAGCAGTACATTCTTTGAGTACCTCTAATATTACAAGGTATTGACATATATGAACACTCTTCTCAGAATGTACAGAAAACCATTTATCTTAAACAGAGATAGAGGATGCATTCAAGTAGGAATTCATGAGTCTCTAAGTTTAAGAGGATTTCCCATCAGTTTCTGAAAAAAATCGGTAAATACAGACATTAAGCAGTTTTCAAATCAGGACATAAAATGTCTCAGATCATACAAAAGTATACTCCAACTTCTCAGGAACAGAAGTCAAAGCTAAGGCCTCACAATTCCAGTTATGAGATACAATGTATGCTCTTTACTAGGCCACCACTTAAAGCCAACTATTCAGTGTGTCAAAGAGGGATTTTTTTAAAAAGGTGGTTGCAATGCAATTCTTTGTACTATGTACTCAAAGTACAGCAAGATTACTTACAAGTGGTAAAGAGCTACAACAGAAACTTTTAAAGACAATGCAACTTATAAACAGAACATGACAAACTGCATCGAAATTTCTTCAAGAACCACATAAGTAGTAAGTTCACTACGCAAATTAAACTTCATAAAGTACAAATTAACAAGCCACATGATTAATAAAATCTGTTCACTTTATATTAAACATCTCTAATATGATTATAGAATGTTTACATCCCCTGCTGCGCAGAGGAACTCTTCCCTTTGTATCACAGGCAAGGGTTTGTATCTCTAATGCTGCTGTGGCAAATGACTATTTCAATAGATTCTGCAGCATGGCCGTAGCATACGTAGGACGAGCCTGTCTGCTTTCAATTGCATTTTGAAGATACTGGATACCTCCACAGCGCTCCCAAATCTCTTCAAACTGTCTCGGCAAAATTTCTGCACCTCGCTTTCGTGTTAAGCCAGTCTCTTCAAGATTAAGCTCACACATCTCTATGTCATCCTTACCTGAAATGGTTAAGGAAAAAAAAAAAAAATTCATAAGGCTTTTCCATGATCTAAAGGCGCCATTAACAAAGACTGGATCTATGCTTTGTATCCTCTCTCAAGCTGTAGCAGACAGCAGAGAGAGACTAGCAGAGAGAGACTTGTTAGCAGACTCTAGAGCTTACAAGGAAAACAGGCCTCAGACACTGATTTTTACACGCAGAGCAAACACAAAATAAGTATTTTCAGAATAAACTAACATCAGGTGCTGCACCTGACAAAACTGTGCTTAAAAAGCGAGCTAAAGTGAACAAAAAGATCGCCTTCAGATATTCTCCTGAAATCCACTACAGGATGACCACTGAATTTGTTTTACGTAGGCCACTTAACTGTTGTTGTTGTTACTGAATTTGTTTAAGTACAGCAAAATGACCAAGAAATTAAGAGTTTTGATCCTGTTGTCAGCACAATGAATTTGTGAGCCTCCCATGCCAATCAATGTTTATCAAATGGTAGTGCTCACATGGAGTCCGATGAAAAGATGAACGCACTGTTATTTTAATCTTATTTTTAATAGGTGAACCATTGAACGTGGCATTCATGATAGCAATGCAGCACTACTTTTACCTATAGGCTTTGACACTAAACAGACGGAAGAGAGTTTAAATATTTCTATTAAAAACAGCAGAAAGGTAAGGAACTTTGGTTGTTGTTAAAGCATCGTTCTGCGAAGCTAACGAATTACAGCCTTCTCCTCAGTTCTAGCTAAACTCAAAAACTCAAAACGCAACTGTAAACAGAGCGTTTTTCCAGTTTTTCCTCCTCCTTTAATTATCCTCCAGACAGTGAAGAGGTATTTCATTAGCAGATCTTTCACTATCCACTGCCACATTTAGCTTTTAATTAAAATGCTTAAAATTAGGAAGTCATTCTTCCATACTAGGCAGCATAAATACTGTAAAAGCATCAATTTGTTATTAGCACCGTCTTACAGAAAGACCAAATTTCTAACGCACAAGATGTTTTGATACCTACTGCTGTAATGTTTCAAAGCTATCTCAAATCCAGTACAGCAGAGATTAGGAGTTTCCCAGGAAAGTTTGTGACCACTTTTTATTTTCATGCTGTTTCCAAATCAATGGATAATCTGAGGATGCTTAATAATCAACTGTTTACACCTAACTCCCACACTTCTGTCCGTGATTTCCTAGATTAAAGTGCGTGCCTGAGTACAATACATGCGACTAGTTACACCTCCAAACGGTCTTGTGTGACATTTGGCCACCATCAACACCAGTCCCAAATTCTCAAATTCTGCCTAGACAAGAAAGAAAGCAAGCTGAAAAACACTTAAAGAAAAAAAAAAAAAAAACAGGATATGACTTGGGGAACTTCTGTTATTGTCCTCCTTTTTGTAAAATACGTTAACAGTGAACCTCTTTTACATTTGAATTCTGCTTTTAATACCAACCAGCTACAAGGAGAATGGGTGCCTTGTCAGGATGAAGTTCCATTTGTCGAGCAATCCATGGCCCATCAAAATGGGCATACCACCAACCCTTCTTCTTGTTCTGGGGGTCTTTGTATTGGTCCATGGGACGGATGAAAGGAATACGGAAGTAACGCTGTTGTCTGTTTATTTCAATTTCCTGTTGTCTGGCTGGTAGCTGGGTTGTTGGGTTCTGTTGAGCTATTATACAAAAAAAACCAACCAAACAAACAAAATAGCAAACACAAAAAAAAGATGTTACAATTTGCTTAATTAATCAGCAAAGAAAAAAAAGCGAGCCTCTCCCAGAATACAAAGTCGTTCAAAAACCTCAAAGCTAAAAAGTATTCCAATCTCATATAAAGTACATTCTTCTAATCACTACAACAAGAAGGCTGGTGAGAAAAGGCTCAGGTTGAACTACTGTTCCTACCTGTAACACCAGACGGCTCGCTCAATGGCCTCAAGTACACTTGGACAAAAAAAAAGCTGATTGAAATATCACATTCTGCTTTAAACCATTATTTAAGGTACAACTTTCTACATAAAACTCCCTACCAATCAAAAATATTAATCAATAACTGGTCTAGCTCAGTCCATTTCTTTGTAAAACAACGTCACCGTACAAAGAATCAACTTTAGATACAAAAATACAAAGCACCACCTTTAAAGAAAGATTTTTCTTTTGACAGTCAACACAGAAGGGTGTGTAATTTTGTTACTGGCTAACTTGTTAATAGAAATGTTAGCATATCCTGCTTACTACAAAACAGCCAAAATAATCTTCTGTCTTGATTTCTGTGTACTAAATTCCAGTGCTAGAACTACTTTCTGGCTGCTTCTTTTTTTTTTTCTTTTTCTTTCTTTTTCTTTTTTCTCTTTTTTTCTTTTTTTTTTTTAAAAAAAAGAAGGTGTTTATTTCAGACCATTAAGATCCACTGACCGAACTTCTACAGGAAACCACTTAAAGCTTCATATATATTTTTGGTACACATTGCCTCTATGCATTTTTGGACTCCCACAGACTTCAACAGCTTTATTTCAAACTTTGGAGAGAAAAAAGAAACTTCCTTCTGAAGAAAAGCAAATACTCTCTATGTTAACTCATCAACAGAGTAACCTTCTTATGATTATGAATACAGTATCATAACCAGTCTTGAATAGCAAACGCTTTTAAGTGAGATCCTTTCCTTTAAAACCTGCCTCCTGCAAAACTTTGGAGCTAAAATGTAATAAAATGAAAAGCGACAATCACTTTTAATAATGTGTTACAGTTACGAACAAGACTAATATACCAGCAAGTGTCCCTTGAAATTGTTTTTACTCACATTCAGAAAAAAAAAAGGTCAAAAGCTGAAAAGCAGTATCTTAAATGCGTACATTACCCCTTCAAACTTTTTTTCACGTCCACATAAATAAAAAGAAAAATAAAATAGATTTTAATAGGTGAATACTTTTATTCAGCAGCTCTGATGAAACGTGTTTTATATGGAGACATAATCTATATAATTACAGAAAATTAATTCTATTTCTAGAAATTGTCTGAACATCTATCACAACAGATCAGTACTTCAATACTAGCCAACACTTTTTGCACTGCAATGGCAATTGCTAAGGCTTATTTCTAGCCTTGTGCATATCTACATACAAGAGGAAATCTCTAGGCTGGAAACGCTAAGCAGCCAATACAGCTGCTACTTCTCAGTGCTAAGGAAGTGTATTTCTTTATTCAAAAGAAACCATCACCTGAATGTTAGTTTGTGCGCCAGGAAAACAGCTGTTATATTAAGTTGATTCCAGAATTTTGCTACAACAAATAAGCTTGTGCAGACAGTAAAAAACAGTAGTTAAAATTAGTACAGTACTTATTTTGGAGGATGGGGGAAGCACTTACTCCTTCAAATAACCTGTATTAGGAGGCTATTTCATTTTGCCTTCCCATGACTGCTCAGATGGGTAGGAACTCATCAAAATACAAAGTAAAATACACTAGAGTAACCTATAATTACCATCAGTTGAATATAATTAAAAAATAGTAAGATAACATTTTATTTTAAAAATTTAATTCTATGTACATGTGTAGCAAAACACTGGATAAATGAAGTTAGTATAGAGCTTTGGAGTGATCCTATTCTTTAAAGTTAGCTTAAAAAACCACGTCCCCACTTACTTGAGTTGTTCAAAAATGGTGCAAAATCTGTGAACAAATATTACATGTTGAACAAAACATACAAGCACTGATCCTGTTATATTTTCATTATCTCAATGACTTTCACCAATGCAGATGATAGACAAATCGAAATTAGAGTTAAAAAAAGAAATGGAGGTGTTCAGCTAATTATTTGTACTCATTTTCTGCTCACTGATATGAATAAAATGTCTTCTTTCCTCAAGTTTCATAGATTTCCAGCTGCTTCTAGTTCCACCAGGATTTAATTGTGAAATTGATTATTCAATGATCTGCAACGCATGTTACAAAAAACTCAGTTGTAAGCTAAGCACAGATTGCTACACTAAGCTAAGCACTGATCTGCTAGCTACTTAACAGAGTACTTTTAATTTTTGACATTTCTATTAGGAAATAAAAGCCTTTAATTTCCAAACCTCTATTAATATCAAATCTATCCTTTCGAATAATCATTCACAAGCCAGTGCTTAGCTCTTATATTGAACAAGCGACTTTAATCAAAGGACACTTGTAAAAATAAATGACATGAGTGGGAAAAAATGGAAAGAAGAAGCTACATCATTTGAAGCATATATTCACTGATCCACTCAAAGGAATTATACCTTGTACCTCTAAGAAATTAGACCTTTTTTCACTACTTTCTGGGATAATCATAATACACAGAAATAAAATGCTCGTGTAGTATAATTACTCACAACAGAAAGTTACCTCTGACATTAATGATAGGCTATAAAGGTCAGTATTAGTACATCACTGTATTTTTCTATCATTTGCAATGTTCTGACTTTTCTGCAGAAATATGGAGCCATATTTCAAGAAAGTGAAAAAATGCAACAAAAATGTTGAAAAGAATGTTGTAAATTTGTCCTCTTTAACAAAGTATGATGAGAACATGGATACTGCAGCCTTTATTTGTACAATTCCAAAGATTTTATGCTCTTTAATATTTCCCATTAGCAATAAAGTGCTTTACAGTTCATGGGTATTTTAACCATTTTGCTCCACAGGGAACGCAGGAACTCAAACTCAAAACAACTTACAGCTTTGCAGACGCATCCGACAGGGCTTTTTCTGCTGTTTCAGTCATAAGCTTTCTTAAGCACTTAAAGCCACATTACTAGGAACGGCCATGAGGACCCCATTTTTTGCTAACATCTTTTCCATGCTTAGGCTGTACAGGGGTCTAAATCTCCCTACCGCAGATACACGTCAAATTTCTCTGAGAAGCTCAAACTCTTAGGTAACGCTCAGGCAACTCAGCCTAACTCACCGAACACATCAAGGAGAAGGAGAGACCTTAGTATAATAACTGACAGGGAGAACAAGTGGGATACCTGGGATCCACAGCCCCCATTGTCCCAGGACAGTGGCCTAAACCCAGGCTAATGGCACTATGGGGAGAGCATCCTCTCCCCCACTTCCCCTTCCTCATCCTCCCCCATTAACTGTGCAGCCAGGAGCACAAGAGTTGGGGGTCCAGAAGACAGCAGGAAAGACCAGGTTGTATGATTACACCTGTTAAAACTGCAATTCTGTTCATTTCTTAGATTCCTTTTAAAGCAGAGGTTCACTGGAGTAGGAAAAAGAAAAAAAGGTAACAACGACCCCCACAAGTATTACTCCAGAAACAGGGCACACAATTTTCAGGTCTAGCATACTACTTCTTGCTGAATTTAAAAGGTACTCATTCTCATTAGCACACTATTTTTTAAGCTCACAATAAATATCCCTCTGTGAAATCAGTGGACTGACAGCCTAATGGGAAAGCAGGGACTACACAAAATTTGCCATAATCCCATAATCAGAAGTTGCAATGTTGATGTTTATAGAATTAAAAAAGGAAAAGGTCACCTGAAATATATAAGGCTCAGAGCAATCTAAATAAGAGTATCATTAGCTGCTTAGAAAAATGAAATTGGGTCTTAAAAAAGCAGAAAGTATAAGAAAGACAATCTTATCACCAAGCATTTTGCTTGCCTGGACCCTAAACGTACCAGGAAGGAATCACGTCCTATTACATAATTTACTATCTCCTTTTTTCTAGCACCAAAAAAACCATACACAGTTCTTTGACAGATGAAATATTTGTAGGAATTGTTTAGAATTTCTATTCCATCTTAAATGATCACTTAAATGAATATCATTTGATGATCTCAAACGACTGTCACAGAGAATTACACCTAGGAGTACTCCCACAGAGAAGCGTCTGTTAACTACAAAGGTCAGAAATAGTCTGAACCACCTCAAACACATTATATATGTAATAAGATGTACTAGAAGAGTCTCCAAATGCAAGTCACAGTTTCATAAACGAAAAACAATCTTCCTCAATCTTAAGTGGCACAGTAATGAAGGCACCAGTACCTAAAACACCAAATCAAGAACTATTTCAATTATTAACAAATATGAGTTGCTACAAGACAAGCTTTTAGGGAGAGCTATTTAGTAAGTGCATATTGGATCTTCTGAAAATACTCTACTTACTGCAAAGCAATTTCCAGCTCAAATCTTTTCAAAATATTTACTTAATTCAATATAAAAGTAGTTTAAGCAAACAAGAATTTCCTTCAACATAGCAAGAAAAAAAGGTTCATTCTAGAAATGTTTCATCTGAAGCATTTTACCCAAAGTTATTATAAACATAAAATTATCTCTCCTCACCATAGTCTGTGACTGATTTGGGAGCACGCTGTTCCATTTCAGCATTGCGTTTCTTATTCTTGGATTTCCAGGCATGATATACCTTTAGCCGTCTATGAAACTCTTCTCTGCAAGCTGCCAATAGTTCAATATCTGTCTCAAAACAGAGGAAGGAAGGTAGGAGTCAGAGAAGTCAGAAAACATATTTATTAAATGCTTTTCATTAATAGTTACATAATTAAGATGAAGTTGTAATACTAACGTGTTATAACACAGGGAAATTAAAATTTTGTGAGCTATAACTTTTATATAGAGGTAGCTAAAAGCTCAGTCTATTTCCACAGTCAAGAGTAGTTTCTTAAACTAATTAAGAAGTATTAATGTTATAATAAAGACATAAATCTTCACAGTATCAAGGGCCTGAATTTTATAGCTCAGAAACTCCCTTGGAGTGCTATTTTTCCCCTTCTGAGCAACAACAATCCCCAAAGTAGCTGTCATACTGTCAGATTTTGAGCAGTGCATTGCTACAATTACTATTTTCACTTCACTCAATTTCGCCTGTTGACTTCATAAACCAAACAGCAGATTAAAAAATCTCGCCCTTTCTGCAACTGGAAAAAAACAAAAATAAAAACAAACAAAAACCTGGCAACCTGACCACTCAGGTTGGGGTTATTTCTCCACTTTACTACAGATCTTTTATTTTTGCTGAATTTCATGATTCCAAGAAACAGAATGATTCCAAGGCATTTCACCAGTCACCTAAGAGGATCTCAACTGGTTTCGTTAGGGGAGAACAGCTACGTGCATTAGCAACATCTATTACTAAACTAACTAGTCTGTTGAAAACATTGTCGCGGTCTCACCGTTTAAAATGTGGCAAAAAGACAGTTAGCGTTTGGAGCTAATTTAGGGGTTTAAGAACAAATACAGAGAACAGATTTGTTTCCAATTACTAAATCCAGAGAAGTATTCAGAGTTATCTTTTCCAAGAAGTCAATCAACTGCTTGCAGTAAGAGGCAGGATAAAACCAGTAATACATAATAAAGGAAGAGTTCATATTAGTTTCCATCTTCATAATATTAGGGGAAAAGTAATGAACATCTTATCTGTTGGCTTCCTGAATGAAGTTAGACATTTGAAAAACTACTCAAAGAATAATCTGAATATCCAAGACAGAAAATAGTTTATACTATGCTTTACATGACAAGTTTTCTTTCTTGTGAGTTGGTGACAGCAACACGTGACAGCAAGAAGTTTCTCAGAACATTTAAACTTCAGGTAAAGCATTATAAATACAACTCCCTTTGTAGAAATAAATAAAATTGAAACAGGGTCATTAAGAAATTATAGCACACATTTTATGGGCCAAGCATTTTAATATTATAAATATATAATCTGCAAAAGAGACAATAAAGTAACTCTGTTTCACGAATAAGGAAACAGCTGAGTGTGCTGTTCCCTTTGGGGAACATTTTAAAATTGACTGGACATTCATTCGAACATGAATAAAGTCATGATTTTTTTTTAACTTTGTCATAAGGAGAAAGTAACACCTTTTCCATTACTAGAACTTCATTTCTTTCTCTCCCCCAAACCAGAAGAAAACTTACCACAGGATGTATTGATTGTATCACGAAGCTCTGCATATTTCCACTTACTGAGATCATGCTTCTTAGTACCAGCAGCAGCTTTTGTGGCCTGGACTGAAGGACCCCTACAATTATTAAAAAATACGCATCTTTTTTCAAGGTACAGATAGGTATGAAATAAGGAATGTCTACGTGTCTACTTCACCCCATGCTGATGTACGTTATTCTTGGTAAGAGTCAAGATGCAGAATACTGGTAACAAAGAGCAGTCCTACACATTTTCAGTTCTGTTAGAAAAACAAAAGAGGAGGAAAAGTATTTCTGAAGTAGATGAGGAGGGAGAAATGATGTTTCCTCTGCTGCTTAACAACTGGATTAGAGCAAAACCCTTGTTCCAACACTAGAGAAAATATTTCACGTCTCTCATAAGTCTCATTTATGAGAAGAGATCAAATTAAATTCTAATTAATGTTACAGCAGCCATCTGAAACCAGCAACAGCTATTCTGGGGAGGAAAAAAAAAAAATCATTACAAGAGAGACCAAAAGACAAAGACCATTCTCAGAAGAAAGGCTGACTAATGCAAAAAAAGATCCATCCACAGGAAGAGCACTTCTCAAAGGCAAAAGGTATTAATTACTTAAGTAGCGTGCAACACAGACAACAGCAAACGCAAGTGAGAAACTACTACTAAAATATCCATCTTCTCTAAAAGTATGCATAAGGCTGTCCAATTAACAAATATATGCTACAGGTATATGTATAAAGACAATTCTAACAAAAATACTTTAATTCGTTGTTCTTAAAAATGGTACGGATAAGGAGTTAAAGGACCCTCTCTCTGGAACTGTGATCTTCTCATGGATTATCAGGATGCAAATCAGGTTCAAATTGCTACAACTTTCAGTGAAGAGCTGAATACTTTTTGAACACTAAGCAACTCAGAACAGATGCATGACTTTGCCAACTTCTGCTAATGTCCGTGATTAAGATAGGAGGTAGACTAAATTATCTTTCAGTCGCAGAGAGCATTTGTTCTACAGGCCAGACTGAAGATCCTTAACAGAGGAGCAAAATATTTGATACAACGGGCCACATTAAAAATTCAGAAGAACAAGAGACAAAAAAAACCAGGTCTTTTTCAGTTAAATGATGCTTTTGCAGCAATATCTTTGTTAGACTATTGCTTAATTACAGTGTTCAAAATGATATTCACTGGATTATAAAGTTTATTCTTCTGTTAAATCTAAAGGTCTCTCAAAAGAGACTATGAATTGGTGATGCTACTTATTTTCCCTTTTTAGTTAACAGGATATAAATACATTTTCTACTGTAGAATTTCTCTATGTAGATATAAAATATTCCTGAAAGCAGAGATAACAGCAAATGCATGCCACTTCCAAGTTTCATGGAATAAAATAATCTGTTTAATGCAATGTTCTTCTTAATAGCAACCGAACCATCCCTTCAAACATAATTAACGCTGCGGAAACTTACTGTTTATTGCAGCACCCGTTTAATTTACTCGTACTGCTAATCTGAAGCAACAGGCACCTTCCAGGTATGTATTGCACATGAGAAGTTTGACAAAAAAAACTCTTTGCTTTTTAATCAATACACAGCTCAGCGACAGTTAAGTTTTCCCTGCCTTTAGTACTACGGGTGAAAGATGTAAAACAAATAATTAAAGAGAGAATATCTTCAAAATATATATTTTAATATTTTGTTATAACAGCACGCCTGTAGGACATTAAAGGATTGTTGCCAAATGTAATTTCCGCTACCTGGTGTCTAACCTTCTTGAATCTTAATTTGACAAATCCTGAGGATTTTCCATATTTAGCAACACTACTCACTGCTCTAAGAGTTTGCTACATAATTCAGAGGAGCAGAACGAGGCCGTATGATCTCTGGTTAAACTAGTAATCTTTAAGAATGTTAATCCAATTGAACGGCTTAGCCTTTCCATTACAGTACTACTCTGCAGTTAAGATCGCTATTTTGCTTTCTTCATGACTTTAAACATAACAGTCTGGCAGTCAGTCTTAACTGCTCAATCCGAAAATAACAGTTACGCATCAAAAACAGGATAATTTAAGTAGTAAAAATTCAGTCTCAAGTCAAAAGTTCCCAGTCTACGGAAAGTGAAAATTTTCAGTCAAGTAAGCATGCACTAAGTAGTACTGTATTTTTAATCCCACCGAAACAGAGCCTCTCGTTTTGGTCAAAGTTTTGTGATTTTTTTTTTTTTTTTTTTTTTGCGTTTGAAGACTTGGCCAGTGTCATTGGAACTATGTCGATATATGTAACACAATCTGGCCATCTATATTCTTGTTCCAAATTAATTGAACACAACATTCTTCATTCCCATTTTTAAAACATTGTTAAAATAGAAACATTTAGTTAGTAGCTGTGTTCACAATTATCAGTATTATAACTAGAAAATATATCAATCATGTGAGATTAATAACCTTGAGACCACAAATGCAGCAGAGTGGTGTGTTTTACAGAGGATTTACTTTTAAAAACCCAAAACAATTTGAGTTTTCAAATAAATTTCAGACAAAGAATGTCAAAAGGCTGCTTCTGTCCTCAAGTTACAGAAAACATCTTCTAACAACTCACTGAAGTGGAGCACATCATAACAATGTCTTTCAACGGAGAATTAGTATTCTACTATAAACTAGTATGAGACTGTTACAGCAGAATTGTATTCTGATCTAAACGTGCATATTCTCTTACTCCTGCACGGTGCATGAAGTTCTGTATTATCATCCAAAAAAAAAAAAAATCTCAGATAGGTTTTTGTTTAGTGCTTTAGAGTGCTTTCTACAAACACTTAACGAGATAATTCTCAAAAGTGCTTTTTTGAATGGAATTACAATTGAATTTAGCATCTCATTAAAAACTCCTAACAGTTACGTTAACATTAGATAATTTTATTAATTAACAGTGTATTGAATTTGCAAAAATTCTTCTTGAAAGGATGCGGAGCCTAGTTTTGTATCATCCTCATAAGAAGGGTGAAGAGAAAAGGAAGCTTGAGGAACATTATCTATTGAAATTATACAAAACACTAGTATACAGTCATCCACTGAGTTACTCTTATTCTTTATACAATCAATTAAAATAACAGAAAAATAATTACTGAAATATCAGACAATGATTGTCAACAGAAAAGGTGTTGATATAGCAAATTTATCTGAAAAAAATTATCTGCTTAACATTTAAAAATTAATTCCATTATTATTCATTCAATTATACTTCAACCCATTGCATGTGTGATTTCTTTCTGTAAAATGATTGATGCATTTGGTGCTGTCTTTTCACCTACCTAGACAATATTTCTGACATTTCTGTGGCCATTTGTTCCCTATTAAAAAAAATTGATAAATAAATATAAACCAAAAATACTAAATAAAAACAGCCTTTATAACAACTGTAGTAATCTCTTGCCAACCAAACTGAAACTAATTCAAGTGCAGAAAATAAACAGCTGCTAATTGTAAGCAATATCCATGCTCTTATATCTATATATATATACACACACATATATTATATCTTTAGCCCTGATTTGTTGTTAAGAAGAAATAAATCATATAGGACAGCAAAAAAATGGCTGGCATGCGGAAAAATTTACATTGATTATAATAATCTTTAAATGAACGTTATTAGATTTACTAGTTTACTATTCATTTGTGTATTAGAAATATGCAAAGTAGGGGGTATAAAGTATTATAAATTGCTTTAGATTTTACAGATGCAGTCTAATAAAGATTATTATAGGGATATTAGTAAATGATAAGAGGACATTATCAATTTCCTTTGAATTAGTGTTACATTCTTTTCTATTAGAATATTCAAGTTGAAAAAAAACACATCATACGCGGTCATTTGCAGCTTTGTTCCACTGGCTCTGCAAACAGAAGATATTTATGTTAGTCTGAATATTTCCTAACTAGCCTTCTAATAATCTGAAGCAGGAAAAGGTTGGTTATTGTAGTATTTCCCCCTCTCACATTATTGATTTATCTTATGATTTTTTTGGTTGAGGATTGTATATACTTCTTTCCTACATCGTTCTCATTCAGTCAGGAGGGTAATATTGCTAGAAAAAGTAAAATTAAGACAGTTTGGAAAAAAATTTAATTTACAGATGAAAACATTCCGTTTTTTTACTGTGTTATGTTTTATACTTTAACATTAAATTCAAATTTATTTACTTATTTGTAAGTCAGTTGATTTCATCTTTCCAAATCAAACGTTCAGAGACATGCTGTTTATGGATTTCATGCACGCATAAGCATATCAAAAGAAATAACAACAATCCTCATTCAGCTGCTCCAGGAACGGGGCAGAGAGCATCTTCACGCAATCTGTTAAAAGACACTTGGAACCGAGTATGAATGCCGTTAACAAAGACCTGCATGTACACACATACAGTAGGGGGCCAGCATCAAATATGCTAGAAATAAGAACATATTTGGGTTGGTCCAATGCAACACACAGAATGGATAAGTCATCCTCAATGAGGATAGCTTATTTTGGTGCTATAATACCATACTATTTAATACACTGAAATAAGCCACAAAAAATTTTGCACAGATGAAAATAGGTAACTCCATTATTTAATCTTAAGTTTTACTCAACTGTTGAACAATTCTGTTAATTTACACTTGTGTGCAGTAAAACCCGTATTACATGTGCTTCTCAATTTTGGATGAATAATAAAATTCCACGAATCCAGAAGAAGTCCAGCATATTCAGCACAGAATAACACAAATAAAAAAGCTAAAGCCACTGCCAGAACAGCATACCAGACTTTTTTCCTCTAACCATTTTGGCTATTCTAAGCAACCACCCCCAGACTTCACAAGGAAGACAAATATCAAGATCATCCTCGGGCAGTAGCAAACGCTGTAGAGATTAGAGCTTCATTGATCCACAAAAGCTATTGAATTCCCTGAGCCCTCCTCCTCTAAACTCTCTCTCCTTTCGTATTTGAGAAGTCTGCCAGGTTGCAACACTACAGTGACTTTAGGTTTATCTTCCAAGTACTGTATTACAGCAAAATCCAAACAGGGAAAGTGTGAAAATATCCAGAATGCTGCCTATAAAGTGCTTATTAACTTGGACATCCAACTGAACATCTTAAAGTCACATCCGAGATAATATGATAGCTACTGCATGACAACTAAGAGCAAAAACACTGATAATTTTAGCAGCAGTGTCTACAAGTTATATGACAAAAAAAATTACCTAGGTATATCACATAGGCATGCAGTTATTAAACAGATATGTATCTAAATAAAATTGGGAGCAGCAAACAGAGCATATCTGGGAGCTTGAACATGGAAGCACTCGTTCATGAAAGGTTTTTTGCATCATCTAACAAGCCAATGGCATGATCATGTTGGTAAGCCCCTAAATACAATCTGATCAGTAAGTAGTATTCTCATGGGACCTTCACGCCAAATTCTCAGCTAAGCTTTTCACAATATTCCTGTAGCGTTCTTGGCATAGAAAGTCAAAAGCCTTGATTCACTTTTCAGTGAACCTCAATTAATGTATAGTGCCTTCAGAAACTGCCCAGGCGGGTCAGTAAAACTTCATTAAATCACATGCAGGCTTACAGGGGTGGGTAAGTATACATATACTACATGCATTTTGATCATACTTGAACTAAGTAATCTGAAATCAGAACTACTTACATAAAAACAAAAGAAAATTCCTTTTTGTGAGCTTACAACTGCCAAGAAACATTAATATCTTTCTACGTTAGCATAAAGAGCACATCCTAAAATTACTTTCTGGGGAGAAACAAAGGCACACCACCACACAGTTAGACGATTCATCAATTATATGTATATTTGCTGTCAAAAAAGCTTCTGTGGAGTCACCCTTTTCATATAAGGATGTTTTGCTTTGCAGGCAATATGGATCTGCATACCCAAAGCCAAGCATTGGCTCATGAGAAAGTTCAAACAAAATAACAACAAAAGATATTTCAGATAATATTTAATTTTCAAACCCGTCCATGTTAAACATATTCTTTCTATGCTATAAAAGCTTACCAGTCAGGATGCAGAAATAAATATTATTTCTGCCTTAAAAGAGGGCATCTTAATTAAAAATAAATAAATAAATTAGTAATATACAACTGGAATCATCCAGTATTAGAAAGGCTACATTTTATTCCTGCTAAGCACTGAAGAAATTCCTGTCCCTACTTGAAATGGGTCATAAAAATCATAATTTAAGTTAGTTGCCATCCTCATCAGAATTCAAGACGAGAAAGAGAAGTGGCCTGGGGTTTTGGGTTTTTTCAACATGATGCTTTCCCACAGAACTGGAGTCATATTCACATACATCTAAATTACTGATGTAGCAAGATGCACAATGGAGAAACCATTTCTCAGCAAAAGCAGGCTATTTTCAACAAAGTTGACAGGTTAATTTGAAAAAAATGTTCTAATATGTTGACTTGAACGATCTACTCAGTTAATACATAAACACATAAAAACAAATGAGAGCTTAGTATTTTCAGAGAAATCACACAAGGAAAAGAAAAAGCAGAGATTTAAGCATGGAGCCCCGTACCTGCGTAATCCTAAATCGAGCTGCGCCTCATCACTGATGAGTTCTGCCTCACTCTGGGCAATTCTCATTGCAAGTTCACGATCACGACGTTCCTGTTCAAGAACTGCCTGGTGCTGAGTTTCTTCTTCACGTTCTCTAGCTAGCTGAGCCTCAATTTCAGCCTGTTTTATAAAAACAAAACTTTAATCTTATCCAATCAAGAACAAAAGGTTACTTAAGCAAAGGGTTAGAAAGATGCGCAAAAAAAAGTACGCTAATAGCTATCTTAATTGGCAAATTTACAGAATTAAAAAAGTAACAGGAATAGTTGTTCGATTGATTCAAGAAAAATAATACAGCCACAGATTGCAGCTTGCTTCTCATACAGCTTATCAAATCATTAGAGCTCATCACTTGAATTATTCATTCTAATTAAAATGACAATCAATCACTCCTATATAAAAAAACAAAGGAAGCTTTTCCTCAACTACTTTACTAATCATGAAAATTAGACTTGAGAAATTTTTAGAATCAGTAAAACTCAGATAATACACAGCAGTATGGTTAGTCCTCCATAGCATTAACACAGTACTTCCTTTGTATTCTACATCTGGCAGTTGTAAGACCTAGCAATAAGCATTATTTTGTATATAAGTCTATGGTTCATTCTGAAAGGGGATCAGGATGAACACTTCAGACTTGATCTGTCCCCAAATTTAAATGGCAAAATTCCAACTTACTGCAGTGAGGAAACAATCCAGATGCACTGCCTCTGCAGAGCAAAGCTATAATTCCAGTTTACCATCAGCATTTAACAAAGAACAGTCTTGCACACATAACGAATAAAATTTGAGCATTCAGTGTAAACTTCTGAAACGCATACACGCCAACTTTTAGCAATGCCTTTCTTGGTGCCCAAAAGTAAACAAAACAGACAGTCACTCCCACTGGTCATCGTGAATTTGCATCAGCAAAACAACGCAGGAGCACCAGTGACTTTCTCTGCGAATCCTATTTTAGATTAGCTAATAGTATCATCCACCAAAATGAGAGATAATGAATAATTAACTGTATGTAGAAGATAGAAATGCCCTACTGAATTACATTATCTACTCTGTATCCAGAATGCAGTAAGTGTTTCCAAGTAAAACTGTTAATTACATTCCGCAGTGCAGACAAGCACATCTCAGAAACAAAGAAATATAAATAAAGGCTAGCCTTAAAGATGCATATGGGGCTGGCAGACCAAGTTTTTAAAACTTCCGGCACGAGTCCATCTTGTTCCTTCAGCGGATACAGTTTAATACGTTTAAACTGTCCCTGAATGGAAACTCTTACGAATTTCTCCTAAAATTCTACAAACTTCTGCAACCATCTCCAAACACTGATTTGAAGACTAGCAGCTAACTTTTTATACGTAATTTCTGTAAAACGGTGTTGCTTACTCTTCTGACGCAGGTGATAGACAAGAAAGATCCGTTTTGGGTCAAAGTTAGGATGTACCTTCTATGTTAGTTCCAACCCCTTGTTTAGCTCAGAACAAGGCTGAGGTAATAACAGAAAAGAGTACGTACAAGCAAGAAAGATGAAACAATGTTAAGCTACCTCTAGGGATAACTGGATGCAGAACGGAGAAGTGCTCTTCTGATTAATCATGGACAGGGTTTGCAGTAGTCTGTAATCAGTGACCACTGCCCTGTCAGTTGCTACAACAGTCCCTGAAGAAGAGCTTCTCCTCTCTGCTGAGGTCGCACAGGGAGCCTCCAAAGCAAGAGGAAACCAAGCTGATAAGAAGTCCTAAAGTGCCTCAGAGTGAGAGTTTATGGGACCAGTAGGAACTGCCAGGAATCAAGGCAAACGGAGCAGGCATGCTGAACTGCATGTATTCTACACAAGTGCACATGACAGGTCACCACAGGCAGTCCTATATCCTCTCATTATTACAAACATCCCCAAACTGTTTACTGTTAAACTGGCATCTAATATAGCCCAAATCTGGCTTTGACTTCTGGCAAAAACATGCCAAACTGTCTGACACGGAACATCTGCAAAAACTCTAAAGGCTGCAGGAGTTCTGCAGAGTCACGTATCTAACTTTTTTTTAGTTTTAAAAACAAACACTCCTCTTCTCCATAAGACCTGAACTTGCACATGGATTGCAAAAAGTGGTCTTTCTTGGGATGCTCTAATCACGAATTTTTTTTCCTTAAATTCACTACGAAGCAATGGACTAAATACTAACAGTTTGCGGTCTTTCTTGGGATGCTCTAATCACAAATTTTTTTTTCCTTAAATTCACTACTAAGCAATGGACTAAATACTAACAGTTTGAAATACTTACAGAACTTTTCTTATACAGGTACAATGGCCCCAGAATCACTGGGACAAGAGGTTCTGTAACATGCTGGCAAGCCCAAATTCCAGTATTTTGCTATTTTATTACGACCCAGGAATTCTAGGCAGTCTTGGCTAGTGCCCTTGAGAATCATTAAATTAATAACCTCAGGGACTTTTCCTCATAACAAGTTCTTTAATCTTAGTTTGATTACTAGATCATTACGCACAATAGGAAAGTAGAAATGAAAGGGGAACACGCTGTTGTTAGAAGTATTAACCGTAAACCCACCCCCTCCTTCTGCAGTAGAACTGTGAATACTTTTTTTTCCCCTCTGCAAAGTCTTTTGGTCCCCTATATAAACTGTAATAATCTGTACGTGTCAATCAATAAAAAGCTATAAGCATTACAACTTTATATTTATCAACAGTAGCACTGATATATAGAAAAATATGAAAAGAAGTCAAAAATTCTCATTTCCAACTAGTCATAGTTCTAATGTAAACTGTAAAACTGTAAAACACTAAAAAAGGGCTAAGGTATTACAATGCCTTTTATTTTTAAACAGGAATAGTAATTGTTTAGTATACTTGTCACACTTGTGATTAATCAGCTTCCTCTTAAATCCCTTAAAAGGTTCACTCTTAGACAGCTACTTTTTTTCTTCTACTAGTATATAAAACCTTCAGCGGATTTTAAAATTGCTAATTTTAAGCTGATATTTTAAAAGATAGCCATAATTAAAGTTTACCAAGCCAGCTTAACTCTCGTTAATCATATTCATACAACGTAACACTGTATATTTCATCTGAACAGCACCTTACTGAATAATAATCTCCTTTTTAAGTACAATTAAATACTCCTACATTGTATCTGGAATATTCCAACTTCACTACTCAATCCTAACTTAGTAGTAAAATAGCGTGGGGCTGTAACATACTAAAAAATACCTATTACAAATGTACTGTTTCTATTTCTGAAATTAGTACAGTAAAGCTTGATATTCAAAAAGCTTATGAGATTCAGCATTTGCAAAATTAAATCTACAACTGAATACTTTTTGTGTGTTTACAGTAGTTGCCAATTTTGGTCTGTGAAATCTGACAACTTGAAACTGGTTTCCCCAGTCACTAACAACTGGCAAATGTCAACAGCAGCTTATCTATAAGCATAAGCATTGCTGCAACACATGCATTAGCAAACAGATATACACTATTTGATTACATTTAGTGCAATTCCCTATCCAGTGTCTAACTTTTTGTGGGTCTTTCTTTAGACTTTGAAACATTCCACAAAATAGCACTTAAACTAGGAAAAGCTGAAAAGTAACAAGGAATCTTCAAAAGTAGTTACATTTTCATTTGCGCGGCTTTGTATTTTCATTTATATTGAGAAAAGGTAAAAAGATACCAGATTAACCAGATATATATTCTCACTCCCAGGCAAAGAACTAAACTAAGATTGATAAAACACATGAGGATGTTGCAATCATAAAAAAACCAACTTGTAGACTCAGGAAATACAATCTTTAGGACTTGAATAAATCATGGTACAGGGAGGGCATCATTTGGGCTTGAAAGCACCCCTCATTGATTTTTACAGATACTATGCCTAACCACATGATTACTACCAAAATACTTCACTATCTGTAGGTTCAGAATATAGAGAGCTCACTTTACACAGACAATAAACGTTCCTCTCTCCTCTTCCACTTTCCTTTCATCCCAAGGCCACTGCAGCCTAGGTTAAAGGTTTATTTCTCTACGTTAAACAGGTACTTCCTCATCTTGAGAAGTCTGCACCAGAAACTTAGCAAAATTGAATCACTTGAAGGTATTCCACTTAAAATAATTTCCATATTCTTCATGGAGGTATCACTATTATTTTCACGTCATGAATAACAGAAATATAGCACATTAAGTATTATGAAAAGCTTAATTCATATGACTCTGCAGCATCACTCTGAACAGAAAACTGCAAAGTACGCGTCGTTTTAGCAACACCTCCCCAAAACAAGCAAGACATCTAAATGACAAATGTTTCTTTTTCACTAAAAAAAAACTTAAAGTTAACACCTCCCATTCCTAAAAATTCTTCATTTACTAATCCAACTTACTACAGCAATGTAATTTCCATCACAAATCTAGTATGTTCCCACTCCACAACTGTTCTCCTTGATACATGTAGTTGAAGTATGTTGTGCTCACAGTAACTCCATCACCCTCAAGGCCCAGCTTGAACATAAGTTATCAGAAGGAATAAGAAACAGTCCAGGCTAAACAGTCCCAAGTTCTACCAGTGTCCCCTCCTATCTTAGACGCTCCAGTCCTTTAGTCATCTTTATGGTCCTTTGCCGGACTTGCTCCTGTATGTCCGTGTCCCTCTTGTATTGGGGAGCAATGAACTGGACGCAGCACTAGAGATGTGGCCTCACCAGTAACGATTACAGGGGGCAAAAAAAATCACTTCTGTCAACCTGCTGGCAATGCTCTTCCTCCTGCAGCCCAGGATACCTTTTACCTTCTTGGCCTAAAAGGCACATTGCTCACTAGCACATTGTTCAACTGGTTGGCCACCAGGACTCCCAGGGCCTTTTCTGCAAAGTTGCTCTCCGGCTGGTCAGCCTTCAGCCTGTACTGGTGCATGGGGTTGTTCCTACCCGGAGGCAGGATTTTGCACTTCCCTTTATTGAACTGCATGATATCCCTGTCAGCCCATGTATCCAGCCTGTCGAGATCCCTCTGAAAGGTGACTTAACCGTCTAGTGCATCAGCCAATCCTCCCAGCTTTGTATCATCAGCAAGCTTGCTGAGGGTGCACTCTGTTCCATCACCTTTGTCATTAGCAAAGATGTGAGTACTGGGCCCAGTATCAACCCCTGAGGTACACCGCTAGTGAATGGCCTCCAGCTGGACTTTGTGTTGCTCATCGCAACCCTCTGAACCTGGCAGTTCCACTAGTTTTCAGCCTGTCTCAATGTCCGCTTATCTAAGCCTATACTTCCATCAGTTTGTCTATGAGGATGTTATGGGAGACAGTGTCAAAAGCCTTGCTAAATCAAGGTAAACAACATCCACTGCTTTCCCCTCATCCACCAAGCCAGTTATCTCATCACAGAAGACTACTGAGGTTTGTCAGGCATGATCTCCCCTTCATAAATCCATGCTGACTATTCCCAAACACCTTCTTGACTTTCCCATGTTTGGAAATGGTTACCAGGGGCATTCAATCCATCACCTCCCCAGGGATTGAGGTGAGGCTGATTGGCCTGCAGTTGCCTGGATCCTCCTCCTTGCCCTTCCTGAAGGCAGTCTTCCAGTCCTCAGGAACCTCTCCCAATCACCATGACCTTTCAAAGATAATTGACAGTGGTCTTGTCACGACAGTAGGCAGCTCCCTCAGCACTCATGGATCTATCCCGTCAGGTCTCATAGACTTATGCATGCCCAGTGTGTTTACATGTTCCCTCACCTGACCCTCCTCCGCTGAGGGAAACTTTTCCTGGCTTCAGACTTTCCTACAGGTCTCAGGGACCTGGGATTTCCTGTAGACTGGTCTTACCAGTAAAGACAGAGGCAAAGAATCACAGAATCGTTTAGGTTGGAAGGGACCTCTGGAGATCATCTAGCCCAACCTCCCTGCTCAAGCAGGGACCTCTAGAGCATATTGCCCAGGATCACGTCCAGACGGCTTTTGAATATCTCCAGGGAAGGAGACTCCACCACCTCTCTGGGCAACCTGTGCCAGTGCTCTGTCACCCTCACAGTCAAGAAGTCTTTTTCTCAGGTTCAGATGGAACTTCCTGTGGTTCAGTTTCTGCCCGTTGCCTCTTGTCCTGTTGCTGGGCACCACGGAGAAGAGACTGGCCTCATCCTCTTGACACTCCCCCTTCAGATACCTGTACACG